GGGAAAGAGCTGCAAAAGGTAGACACTGACAGAGCCACAGTCAACAATGTTTTCAGTTCAACAAACTCTGATGGGGTGCCTGCCACGTGTGGGGTCCCAGACCTAGTGCTGGGCACGACGCTGAGAGGGCAGCCCGAAGTGAAAATACAGAGCGAAGACAAGGTATGCTGTGGGGAGAGTAAAAAGTACAAGTAACAAAACAAAAACCGAAATACAAAAACGAAAAATAAAATGTGAAAAAGGGAAGGGCGATGTATCTGTACACCACAGTTCTCGTAGTCCTTACTGATGACGGAGTCACCAGCTCAAGTCAGGCTGCAATAGAGTAAACTCGATTTAAGAAGGCATCGATGTCTCTTGTAGATTTTAAAAAGATCTCCTTCAAAAACGATAAAAAAATGGTTTTACAAAAAGTTTTGGCACTTAAGAGGGGTAAGCTGGCTGTGTGTTCACCCTGGCAGGTGGGCGGGTGTTCAGTGCCCGGCCACGCCGGTTAGTTGAGCTGCCACGGAATTGTGAACTGCTTTGGGACACTGGGCAAAAGCGTGTCCTCGCTTGCCACAGAGGTTGCACACGATGCCCTTCCGGCAGTACGGGCTCAGGTGCCCCTCCTCCCCGCACCTGAAGCACCTGTCCTGCGTGCAGCTGCCGCTCATGTGGGTCCGGGAACCACATTTAAAGCACGTCTTGGGCTGCCCCTTGTACCAGCTGTAGCCCCGCTCGGCCCCCAGGAAGAAGGCCCCGGGCAGGTGCCTGACCCCGCCCTCCCCCTGGCGCAGCTCGATCTCGCACTTGTACTCGCCGGTCCAGATCCCAAACCTGTCGGTCACTTTCACAGGCACCGCCAGCACGTCGCAGTGGCGCTTGAGCCAGGTCACGATGTCCTCCACGTCCACGGTCTCGTTCCGGAAGAGGATGAAAAAAAAAAGAGCGTCTTCAAACTGGACTTGCTCCGCCCCAGAACCACAAAGTTCTCCCAGCAGTCCTCCTGCTCGCGCTTCTCCTCGTAGACGCGGAGGAACAGGGCCAGCTTCTCCGCCGAGCGGAAGCTCACGTCGAACTCGCGGCTGCCGGGGATCTGGATGACCGCGAAGATGTCGCTGGGGTCCATGCCTATGGAGCGCAGGATGAGCGCGCCCACCACGAAGTCCCGGGTCGGGCAAGCGCCCTCGTCTCCCTGGAAGCAGATGCGCACGAGAAAGCGTCCCTTGCCCGGGCCCGTCGCCTGCTCGTCCTGGAGGGGCCGCTCGTCCGCATCCTCCGCCGGGGCCGCCATGGCC